CAGGGTGACCCTGCAGGGCCAAAGTTGCTAACTGGCCTTTTAAAAAGTTCTAGAGATGCTAGACCTCAACACGGGTGAGTCTTAAAAGTGGCAGAGATGGGTACTGTGATCCACCACCCAGAGTCCCCATGGTAGGGAAACAGAAATGGGTGTTGTGGTCCAGAACCAGCCACTACCCCAACTATACGAGACACACAGAGAGAGTTATGGGCGCTGTAGTTCATCCCAGGCGGTCTCCATTGTCGGCAGAGCATGATGGGCATTGGGGTCCGGCACCTGCCCCCTACCTCCAAAGCGATGGTTAGTGTGGTCCAACTACCCCAGTGAGGGAATTATGGGTGCTGGAGTTCATCCCATAGTCTCCATTGTCAGCAGAGCATGATGGGCATTGGGGTCCAGCACCTGCCTCCTACCTCCAAAGCGATGGTTAGTGTGGTCCAACTACCCCAGTGAGGGAATTATGGGTGCTGGAGTTCATCCCACATATAGTCTCCATTGTCGGCAGTGCATGATGGGCATTGGGGTCCAGCACCTGCCTCCTACCTCCAAAGCGATGGTTAGTGTGGTCCAACTACTCCAGTGAGGGAATTATGGGTGCTGACCTTCCATTGTCGGCAGAGCATGATGGGCGTTGGGGTCTAGCACCACCCAAAGGGATGGGTATGGTAGTCCATCCCCCCCCCCCACACATACAGAAAGCGACGGTCTAGCGCCCCTCCCGTCCTCCAGGGCCGGCGGGGAGTGATGGGTGTTGGAGTCCTGCCCTCCACCAGCCCCCAGGCAGGTCGGCCGGGCTCACCCTCATCTGAATCCCGAGCGCGTCCGCTGCGCTCGCCGTCCTCCTCCTCGGCGGGGCTCTCCAGCTCCTCCTCCTCATAGCTCTCGGCGGCGGCGGCGGCGGCTGCTCCGGCTCCCGGGGCCAGCGTGGAAGGCGGCGGTGGCAGCGGAGGCCCCGGGGGCAGCGCGGGAGAAACCAGGGCGGCGGCGCTCATGGCCCGCGAAGACGGACGAGGCTCGTCCTTCCTTCCTCCGTCCGACCCTCCGTCCGGCGGCGCCGGTCACTCCTCAGGCGAGCGCCCTCAGAAGCGCGCTCCTTTCTTCTGCGCAGGCGCGCCAGCCGCTTCCGGGACCGCGGGGCGTTTCTTGGCCTCGTCTGGCCCGTAGCTTTTTCCGTAGACGCCTGGGCGGGGCGTCGGCTCCCAGGACGGGGTGGTGGACTCATTCTGTAGAGGTGTACGCGAATCGCCTTCTTCCAGGCTCCGTGATATCCATGTACATATATACATCCGAACTACAGTGTTGTTTCCCTATGTTATATAATATATATAATTTCGCTTTATTTATTTATTTATTTATTTATTTATTTATTTATTTTTATGTAGTATATATTGGAGGTGGTGACCCTTTGACAGCTGTATGCAACGAAATTTCATTTTAAAGTGTGCCGATTAATGTGCATTTATGTGACAATAAAATTATTATTCTATTCTATTTCATTCCATCCTATATTCTCTTCTCTATTCTATTCTATTTTATTCTATTCTATTCCATCTTCTCTTCTCCATTCTGCATTCTATTCTATTCTTTTCTATTCCACCCTCTCTTCCCTATTCATTCTGCATTCTATTCTATTCCATCTTCTCTTCTCTTCTGTTTTCTATTCTATTCTATTCTCATTTATTCATTTATTCTGCCATGGTTATGTTGTGTGTATTCGAGATGGTGACCCTTTGACAGCTGTTTGCAACGAAATTTCATTTTAAAGTATCTCTATTATCTCTCTATTATCTTATCTTATTTTATCTATCTATCTATCTATCTATCTATCTATCTATCTATCTATCTATCTATCTATCTATCTATCTATCTATCTAGCCATCATCTANTTTTAATTTTGTATTTTTAAATATTTTAAATGCTTTTACTTGTTGTGAGCCGCCCAGAGTCCCTAGGGAGTGGGCGGCATAGAAATCCTATTAAAGTTTAAAGTTTAAAGAACCCACAGAGAAAAAAGGCATACTTGGTCTTTCTGTTCTATTCTCTGTTCTCAACTATTTTTTTGTGGCACCCAAAGCTTTATAACAAAGCTGCAAATCACCAGTGGATGAGAGATGATAACAATTTTCACTGATCAACGAAGATGGACCATACCAGATTGAAACAATGATGCTCCTTCTGAGTATCATAGCAGTTTGTGGAATTCAGCATGTTGGAATCAATGCGACATCATTTTTAACATTAATAAATTATGTTGTATCCTAGTGGATGAGAATGTAATCGGGTTAGTTTTTATTTACATAGCAAGCTTTTCGTGGCTTTTCTACACAGATCTTCCTTGGCAATGAAAAATGTCCTGAATGGAAATAAGCTGCCTCTAGAAAATTGCAACTGAGAACATTACCTGTGTGGATGATCCATATTCACTACATGGAATAACTTAAATTAATCTGCCTTTGGTATCTGAAATTTGTCTGTTTGACTTGAAATGATGAGATGAAGCATTAATTCCCAATGACACTCAGCTGTTCAAGTGGTAATAAAATCTAATTTTTTTTTACCAGGAGGAAGCATATCAAACCTCTACAGTGTTTTAGTTTCTCGCTATAAATACTACCCTGAGATTAAAGCCAAAGGCATGGCAGCCCTTCCAGAGATCATATTGTTCATTTCCGAACATGTGAGTATTTACGTGTGCAATCACACTTGTATAAAGTTATTTGACTGTGGCTGACTGCAATTATTTTAATAATACATGGTTGTTGAATGAACTCCCAGTGTGATGGAATACCACAAGAATGTGGCAGAAAAGATATCTGAGTCCTGGGAAAATAGAAATCATGACAAAGAAACGCAAAGCGAATCCACTTCCATTGTATTAACTATATGTTGGAATAGAGGAGGGCTTTAATAGGCTTTCAAAATTCAGTTACAATATCCAAAAGAATTAAAGTACATTTCAAGACTCTTAATGAATCTTTTTTTCCTGACTTTACCTACCTCCAAGGACTGACATTCACCAACTCTCGATTCCACTCGCCCTAATTTCAGCAATTGATTACTAACCACGAAGAAAGTTACCTTGTCAAACGGGAGGAAAGTAAATTTTTAATGTATAATTCAGGGCTAGTTATAGAGGTGAGGAAATATTGCTTCCTGATAGCAATAACCTACGTTTGTGGTTTCACTGCATTGTGAATTATTTCTGTCATGACTGCCACAAGAGTTGTGGAAAACCCAGAGCAAAGTCAATGACTGGTATCTGATACATGAATCTTAGCCTAGAAACAGTTATTATAGTTGCAGTCATCCCTGCTCCATGTTGCTGGCACTGTATGATTTTGTGACAACTTAATGCTGCTAATTTCAATTTTGCAAATGGCTCGAGGTGTGTTATAATAGCAATAGACTTATATACCACTTCATAGTGCTTTACAGCCCTCTCTAAGTGGTTTACAGTGTTAGCATATTACCCCAACAATCTGGATCCTCATTTTACCAACCTCGGAAGTATGGAAGGATGAGTCAACCCGGAGCCGATGAGAATTGAACTCCTTGCTGTTATTCTAGAAATATTATTATCATATATTAAAAATATAATTGGGAGAACTGGAAAACTATGAGTAACAGCACTCCCATCAGAGGTGGGTTCCTACTGGTTTGGTCCGGTTCGGCCGAATAGGCAGTAACTTGGCTCGCCACGCCCCCAAACCAATTCTACTGGCGGCGCAGTAGGGGCCACCATCTTGTTTTTTGCTTCTGCACATGTGCACATGTGCATTTTTTATAGTGCTGCACATGTACACGTAGCATGCAACAAGCCCTCTGGAACGAGCTCCCCGTGGAGATTCGGATCCTCACCACCCTTCAGGCCTTCCGCAAAGCCCTTAAAACCTGGCTGTTCCGACAGGCCTGAGGCTGACGAGTTCCCGTCCCCGCTCGAATTGTGTGGCTGTTGATTGTTTTTAAATTTGTCTGTAGTTGTTTGTCTGTTGTTTTCCTCTTGTTTGTATCCCCCCTTACTTTGGTTTGTGAGCTGCCCTGAGTCCCTCAGGGAATAGGGCGGCATATAAATGCAATAAAATAAAATAAAATAAAATCAAGCATGCGCACACTCACAGCATGTCCCTGAGCAAACCAGTAGTAGAAGAAGCCAGAACCCAGATGTGGGAACATCAGATGTGAAAGACTTGCCTAACGTAAATTTCCATGTGCATAAAATGTTTCTCGCTTTTCCACAATTTAAGGAAGGTGACTAGCCTAAGCAGTTATAAATTAATAAACTGTAAATCAAAGAATTATGAACTTTGATTATATTTCCCATGTGGATCACAACAGTATTATAGATTATATTATGGTGATATTTTGACTGTAGTTCAGACAAGCCACACTCAGTTGGTAATTTCACTTATGAGGTAAGCTCTCATGGAAATAATTTATCTTTTTTTAATTGTTATTTATTTCACCCTCCCTATGCTAGGAACGTAACTTTCTCAAAACAGATTCAAATTGTTTAGGGTGGTTGCTATTTTTTTGCATTATGCCCCACAATTATATGAAATTGACAATCCTGAGAAAGAGAGGAGAAGAACTTCCATCAGTAACAACCCCCACCCCCCAAAAAGAAGTAAGTTGTATTATGGCCATT